GGACAGATCTCTTTTCTCCCTCAGTATGATTTCAGCTATGTATGTTTTTTCTGTGGAAAAATTCTTATTTATCTAAACTAATCTTTATGGTTTAAGTTGATGAAATATCAATGTTTTACTTGTCTGAATCATATTTGCAAATGTTTTGAACTTGAAGCAATTCATTTTTCTTTCAGTTATGTTTTAAACAGTATTCATCAGATAATTTAAATGGGTCATGAAATGTGTTGTTCTGAACCATACAGCAGCAGCAATAATCTTTGTTTTGTTACAGGAGGCACAACGAGTTCTGAAACTAACACTTTCCTTGATAACTTCTTTTTCTAATCTAACCTTCTGGAGGGCGGACCATAGATTCTCTAAGCTTTTAGGAACTAACAGTTTCCGCCCGTCTCAGAACGCACACTGAGAAAAAGACAGAGAGTAAAGGTGACTGACCGCCGTCAGTCACCGTAACAGCTAGATTCTCTCCGGGGAATCAAAAGCTGAAAACTGTGTCAGGTTTGGCCCCTTCACGCCAACGGGGAAACCTCACAGTGTGGAAAACCACGCCTGGTTTATCCACCTTCAGAAACTCTCCAGACGGAAGTTTTATTTACAACCTGGGTTCCAGTCGAGGCCTTGTCTTCTGGTTACGGCTGAAGTGGACGTAAACAAGTCAAAGAGCACACCTTGGGGTCCCCTGTTCGACAGTCTAAAGACTGATTCTCCAGCAGTGCCCTCATCTACCTGGCAGGTGACAGAACATCATCTCAAGGTAAAAGCTGGCTGTGTGTGACGTCGAGGTCTGACCAAAGCTGAGCACAGAACGCTTCGCCCTTCTGGTTAAAACCCACATTTTTTAAGATAAAGAGTAGAAAAGCTAACACCTTTCTTCAACCTTTTTCTTAACCTTGCCCTTGCCAACTCCTAAGATAAACAGCCTCAAATGTCTGGTATTTAACATCAAGCTGACGTTTGTGTTTTTATTTAAGTGTGGTTATCAATTAAGAAGTTAAAAGCTTGTTATTGTTGGTCCCAAACTTTTTATAGGAAATTAATTATTACAATCAGGTGTACTCTATAGTCAATTTTGTATGATTTGTAAAATAAATGATCGCATATCATGGTTCAAATCAACATTCACTGACTGGGAGTTACTTTTTGTGTCCATTCATTCTTGCACTAAAGAAATGTTTATCCAAACATTAAAAGAGATCCTTGCCAATTAAATTACTCTTATAACCTTGTTATAAGAAGTGTAAGCTAACCCTTACAAATGACATTTATTAGGAATAAAGACTTCTGAGTTCTGGTGCATTTGTGCATGCGGGGGTCATTATATTATGTTACTGCTCTGCGGTATCTAATTTCTATCCAGATGTTCACATAGTTGATTTGCAACTATTATCAGGTTTTCAGGAGGAGTTTGACATGAGCAAGTACTGTTGACAAACAGAGACTGAGATGATGGATACAAAAAGTAAGTGATTTTATTTACACAGGTGCTGGGATCTGGGGACGGGACCTGAAACAGAGTTTTTGCAGAGGTGAGAAATAGGGTGATTTTCCAGTGTTGGTTTTTAGCAGGTTAGTAGTTGAAGAGATGGCTTACGGGTTGGAGAAGGAGATGAGACTTGGAGGAGGAGGTCCAACAGGTTAAGTTTCAAAGGTGAGTATTTACAGGTGCAGATTTATTTACAGTGTTACGTGGGAGGCAGCGCATGAGATCCTGGTGAGTTGGCTCAGGTTCCAAGGCAGGAGGTAAACGTGCTGGAGGTTGCTTCTGAAAACAGGTAGGTAACAGGTACACAGGTAAGATAATTTCTCATGAAGACAACAGGTAGCAGGCTGAGCTCATACCAAACAGAGGCAATGCTTCAGCGATGAGATGAACTCCAGCACTGCCTTATAAAGCCTGGAGGTGATGAGCTAAACTCTGTGCAGGTGTGGGTGATTAGTGCGGTGCCCAGTCCAGGAGGCAGGGGGCGAGAACACCAAAATGCCTCAGTACCCCCTCCTCAACAATCGCCTCCTTGTGATTCAAAGTCTTTTTTCAGGATGATTACTGTAGAAGGTGAGATCGGGGTCCAAGATAAAGGACCTAGGTATCCATGACCTCTCCTCCGGACCATGGCCTTCCCAGTCAACAAGGAACTGATTTCCACGTCCTCAGCGACGAACATCCAGGATATGGCAGACCGTGTAGATGGGTTGGTTGTTCAAAAGCCGGGCGGGGGGTGGGGTGTTGGTAGGTGGGCTCAGGGGACTCGTGGAGACGGGTTTCAGCTGAGAGACGTGGAAGGTGGGATGTATCTTCATGGTGGCGGGTAAGCAAAGTCTGACAGCAGTAGCATTGATGATTTTCTCCACAGGAAACGGGCCGATGAATCTAGGGGAGAGCTTTCTAGGGAAATCCTAAAGGTTAATGTCACGTGTAGAGAGCATGCCTCTTGTCCAACTTGATAGGAGGGGGCGGCAGAACGATGACGGTCTGCAAACCTCTTGTTTTGTTGTGCTGTGCGAAGAAGGGCTCTTTGAGCTTGACTCAAGATTCGTCTGCAGCATTGCATGTGGTGATGGACGGATGGAACCATATTTTCAATGTCGTCTCTGGGACAAAGTGGAGGGTTATATCCAAGAGAGTCTTCAAAGTGTGAGTAACCAGTAGCAGAGGAGGTGTGACAGTTGTGTGCGTATTCTACCCAGGTAAGATGTTGACACCAAGAGGAGCGGTTGTTATTTATAACACACCTGAGAGTGGCCTCCAGTTCCTGGTTACACCTCTCCGTTTGCCCGTTTGACTGAGGGTGATGTCCGGAAGAGAGACTGACCTTGGCTCCTAGGGTATTACAGAAAGCCTACCATACGTGAGACACAAACTGGGGTCCTCGGTCGGAAACAATGTCGGTGGGAATTCCTTGCAGATGGAAAACGTGAGTGACCAGGAGTTGAGCGGTCTCGAATGCCGTGGGTAGTTTACTCAATGGAGCAAAATGTGATGCCTTGGAAAATCGGTCAACAATGGTTAGTATTACTGTGTTACCTTCCGAGGGGGGCAGTCCAGTAACGAAGTCCAGAGCGATGTGAGACGACGGGCAAGCAGGAGTGGGTAATGGTTGAAGAAATCCAGCGGGTTGTTGATTACCACTCTTGTTTCGGGCTCAGGTGGGGCATGCTGCAACAAACTCTTTTATGTCTTGATACATTGTTGGCCACCAAAAACATCTTTTAGAAAATGACAACATTCGTGACATACCGGGATGACAAGTGAATCAATGGTTATGAGTCCAATCCAGTACTTTACTAACAATGTTCTTAGGAATGAACCTGGTGCCAGGTGGTCCAGAGCCAAGGTCGGGTTCAGACTGTTGAGCCAGACGAATCATGTTTTTCGATGTCCCAGGAGAGAGTTCCCATGAAGCAGGAGGCAGGCAAGATGTTAATGTCCTTYTCCGTCTTTTCTGCAGAAGAGAACTGCCTGGAGAGAGCGTCAGGTTTAATATTTCTGGAACCAGGGATGTAGGTGATGGTAAAATTAAAATGGGCAAAGAACAGAGACCACCTGGCTTGTCTCGGGTTTAACCTTTTAGCATTTTGGAGATAAGCAAGATTTTTATGATCAGTGAGTATGACGAATGGAACTTCAGTACCTTCTAACCAATGCCTCCATTCTTCTAAGGCAAGTTTAATGGCTAGTAATTCTCGATTTCCAACGTCATAATTTATCTCGGCTGGTGATAAGCGACAAGAGAAAAAAGCACAAAGGTGAATCTTACCATCAGGCTCTGACTTTTGATACAACACAGCCCCGCCTCCGAGGTCAAAGGCATCCACTTCAACAAAAAAACTGTTTGTGTGGGTCTGGGTGGCACAAAATGGGTGCTTGAGAAAAACGAGCCTTTAACTCACCAAAAGCGCTGTTTGCCTCAGGAGTCCAGGAGAAGGCCTTTAATGTGGAGGTAAGTTGGGTGAGAGGTGCGGCGATGTGATTGTAGTCCTTGATGAATCATCTGTAGAAGTTGGCAAAACCAAGAAAATGTTGTAATTGTTTACGGTCATTAGGAACTGGCCACACGGAAACTGCTCGAACCTTTTCAGGGTCTGTTCTAAATTGACCCTTCTCCAGAATGAAATCTAAAACAGACTGATGAGACATGAAACTCGCACTTCTCTGCTTTTACCTAGAGTTGATTTTCATGAAGCCTCTGGAGAACTGCTCTGACATGTTTTTCATGTTGTTGGGTGTCACGGGAAAAAATGAGAATATCATCCAGGTACACAAACACACACACACACACACACATTAAGGAAGTCTGAGTACTGTACATCATTGATCAAAGCTTGGAAAACTGATGTGGCATTGGTTAAACCAAAAGGCATGACCAAGTACTCTAAGTGACCTAAGGGGGTCTTAAATGCCGTCTTCCACTCATCTCCCTCTCTTATCCACACAAAATGGTAGGCATTACGGAGATCCAGCTTGGTGAAAATGGTGGCAGAGTGGAGCTGATCTTGGATGGAGTCTAACAGAGGTAGGGGATATTTATTTTTTACATTGATCAGGTTGAGACCTCCGTAGTCTATGCAGTGCCTGAGAGATTTGTCCTTGTTGGTGACAAAGAAAAATCCTGCCCCTAGGGGAGATTTGGATGGGCGAATGATACCGGAAGCTAAAGACTCGTCAATGTAAGTTTTCATGGCCTCCTTTTCAGGGCCGGAGAGATTATAAAGACGACTGGAGGGTAATGATGAATCTGGTATTAAATCTATGGCGCAGTCGTATGGTCTATGAGGGGTAATGAAAGTGCCTTGTTTTTACTAAAAAACTGATGCCAGATCATGGTAAGCCTCAGGTATGGAAGACAAATCCTTCACCTCAACAGGTTCCTCCCCTTTGATGGAGACTGATACAGCTGACTTTAAACAGTGTTGTAAAAAATGTACTCCAGCTCTCAACCCTCTTTTCCTTCCAATTGATAACAGGGTTATGCGAAGACAACCACGGAAAACCAAAAATAAGTTGTGGGGAGGTAGAATCAAAGACAACAAACTCACCCAAGTCATGGTGGTTGCCAGACACAATAACGTGTAAACTGGGGACGAGTCTGTTGACTTGAGATAAGAGTTGTCCTGTGACACCAGCGATGGAGCGTGGTGGATCGTGAGGTGAGGTAAGAAGTTCCAGTTGTTCCACTAAAACACTCGAGATTAAGTTTTGTTCAGCACCAGAGTCCACAAGAGCCGAAATCAGTAGTTTGGTTTGTCCACAAACTACTGTAGTGGGAAGAAAAAAACAGAGAGTTAGGGGAGAAATTGTCCTGTCTCGTTAGCTTCCCCTGGTCTACTGACAAGACGACCCGTTTCCCCGCAGCGGGCAGGTGGCAATGAAATGTCCGTTGTTGCCGCAGTAAATGCATAATTTAGCTGCAAATCGTATTTGTCTTTCTTTAGGAGACAAACGTTTGCGTCCAATCTGCATGGGTTCGATGGGACTGATATCAGCTGTAGCGGGAAGAGGCGGAGACTCACCACTGATGGGGAAAAAGGAAACCCGCGGATTCTGGGAGGTGTAGTTCTTCTCTCTCTTTCGCTATTTTAATCTGTTATCAATTCGTATGGACAAGGTGATTAATTCGTCCAGGCTTCCGGTTTCATCCTGGGAAGCCAATTGATCTTTTAGTTGCTCTGATAAAGAATTTACATAAATACCTTTCAAAGTGAGCTCTTCCCAGCCAGCCTCCTCGGCAATAATCCGAAAATCCACGGAGTGTTCTGCGGCGGACTTACTTCCTTGTCGCAGGTTGATTAGCCAATTCGTTGCCTCCTCCTGCTGGAGGGGATGGTCGAACACACGTTGAAACTCTTCAACAGCTGGGACGTGAGAGTGCCAGAGGAAAGGGCGGACAAAAAAGCTTGCGCCCATCTGAGGGCTTTTTCCTTTAAAGCAGAAACAATATAGGTTACTATAGGTTACTATATAGGTGGGAAAAAATGAAGTAGAACGAGCAAAAGCTAACGGCATTGAAGCAAAAAAAAAAAACAGCACACTAATTTATGTCCCCATCAAAAAACTCAGAAGGTCGGATGTCTAGTTCTCTAGTAGGTAAAGCAGGCGGAGGGGGCGTGGCAGCTGGGGGAATGACAGGATTAATAGGAAAAAAGGAGTTTAATTTACTGTATTATCGAGGGCAGTGATACGTTGTGTGATTTGGCTTAATAAAGCGCTTGTTTCTTGTTGCGCTGCAAATAACTGGTTTAGTTTTTGGTCATGATCAATAATTTTAGATTTGGCTTGATTAGTGGCTCCAAGAGTCTGATTATCAGTAGCAGTGTTGCCAGGTGTACGATAATTATCGTATTTGTACGATAATTTTGCCCTCTGTACGATGTACGATCAATAATCCCAAAAATCCCAAAATGTACGATAATTTGACCGCTTCAGAGTATGACGTAATCGACCCGACACGCTGCTCGCTGACATGAGAGGTGGCRGGTTGTGGAACACAGCGGTGCTGATTTAGCGACTTCCTCGCTATATTTACAGAGTTTTCAGACCCTCTAGAGACTGTTATTCAGAAAAKWRACTAGTGAAAATCTAGCGACTCTTTTTCTGGTGTTATTGAGACTTTGAGAGACTCTGCCGTGAACACATTTCTCCACTGTGCTGCTGAGAGCTCCTCCTCCCCGGTCCCAGAGCACCGACAGGAGGCTTTACGCTGCGTCTCTCCCTGCTGCAGGTAGATATCCATCACATCCAGACTTGATGCTGACTGATGCATGATGGGATGTTAATAAAAACATTTCTATGGTTAAAATAGATCCCTTTGCCGGCCCCAATAGAAAGGAGGGTTAGAGTTGTGACAGTAAAATAAAAAAAATATATATATTAATCTATCTAGGAGCAACAGAAGAAACTTTTTTTTGTTCTCTTGACAAAGCCTACTACTGTCTCTAAAGAGAAGGCTGGCTGCCGTTTTTAACCCTTTTAAAACTCTACTTCCTACCAAAGAATCAAAGAATCAAACATCCAATGAGACACAAAAAGGATGATTCATATATTGAGTTGAATGTAGAATCTGTCTCTAAAATAGTTATGAAAGTGTTTATTTATGTAGTTTAAAATATGTTTTCACAACATGCAAACACACCAGAATGCAGGAAACAGCACCTACTTCATTCAAACTTTTCTGGGGGAGAACACCCCCTCCCAC